TTGCACGAGCTCACACAGGTATCGTTTCTAACGGAGACACAGTGACTAAAGTGTAGTGACTTCTCATATGGACCATTAAGAACTTAACCAGCCACTAATGTTAGAGTTTACATTTCAATATCAACATAGTTGAACTTGCTGCTACATTGTGCTAGTATGCTAATAAGCTAGTTGCACTTAGCATGGTTTTCATGTACACGCTGCATCATTCTGAAACAGCATAAAACATACATACAAAGGTTTTTACCTTTCAGATGCTTCTTAAAGTTTGTTACAGTTGGCAACTCTACAATAACTGTTGTAAAGGACAGCTTTATTCTGTTATTGTCCCACAGCTGCATCACTGTGCTCTCTGTCTGCACTTTGCCCTTCACACTGAACCACGTTTCATGCAGCGTACCATTAATCTTGCCCACTCCCACCTGGTTGGGCAAAATAAAATGCTTAATCCAATACAAAACAACACGGAACAAGACTGACAGCACAACCCAAAGAGCAGGTTGTAAATCTGCCCCATGGCACCATGTGCACCACTCCTCAAACTAACTTTTATGTGACCTTCAAAGAACGTAGTAAAAAGGACTACTGCCTGTTTCAGTCTGCTTAAACTAGATTTTCTTGAACAAATATGAACTGTTTTTAAAATGATAAGTTTTTAAAAGACAAAAGAGTTTTTATCTTTCAAAATTATTCCACTTTTATCACTTGGACATTGTTTTTAAACTTTAATATCACTCTGAATTTAGTTCAGTACTTAGTTTGTACTGTAGCACAGTTCAAACTGGGCTACACGAAGTACAGAAGTTAAAATCTGCTTCAATTCTTTTTTGTCCTGAAAGTATTTTCAGGTCTGTAACTTCTACAGTAATCTTAAAATGTACTACATTTGTCCATAATTATCTATTTCCTGTTACAGCGGACTGATAATTGTCAGTGAATACCGCTGGAATGTTCTGACTAATGTTGCTTCTTGTTTCAGACACCCATCAACGCCACCAACGCTCAGCCCGTGGGCCAGCAGTTGGTGGCGCTCACCAGCAGGGCGGCGCACTTCACTGATGTCATGGAGGTTATCTTTGTCACCCACCTGGTGGAAAGACTGACACGGCTGCTGCAAAAACAGGACGAAGTAAGAGTCAACACAGAAGTCTGCGGCTGTCGCTTTACGTGATTTTATTTTAGACACGAGCCTAACCTCGAACAAACAAACAAGATAACTGTAATGGTGGAGGTAGAGAAGCTCACGGCGTTACCTGAGGCCTTTAGTGCGGCATTTCTGCCTTATCAGCCAACATCAAGGCAAAGAAGACAGGATATACTGTATATATATATATATATATATATATATATATATATATATATATAATTCTAAGCTACTACTAATTAAATAGTTTGTGCAGTGGATGTTTTCACTCTGCAGCAAGAACTCAGTGAAATTCAGTTTGTAAGAGTGTAAGTTTTACATTACACAACCTATTAAACACTTTGTACAAAATCAGTTTCGTTTTTACAAAGACTGAACTTATACAACCAGAAGTTGCAACATGTATCTACATATAAAACACACAAAACCAAGCACAACTAGTTTTAAGTATTAACCTTTAATTTAACCATTAAACATACGATGTAATCATGACAGAAAATGGAGGATTTACCTCCAGTTACCTTCGTACAGGTGAACATGTGGCACTTCCTGTTTATAACACAATCAGCTGATCAGGGGGGCAGCTGCTGGCTTCGTACATTTATCCAAACACTGTTTAGTTTTTGAAATGTAATAAACTGTATCCCACCCTAAACGCTCAGGGTGACACGTGTCTGGATTACATGTTCTCCACTGACAACGTTTAAACATTTTTTCTGATGATTTTTCACAACATTCCTGATCATGGGCTGCAGCTCTGCAGGTAAGGGGCTCTGACCTTCTTTACAAGTTAAGGTCACCGTTAGATCAGTTGCTGACACGCCCACTCAATTTAGAGTTTTCTGAGGTAGCTGTGTCAGCCATCTTGAAACAAAATGTCTCCAAAAGTTAATCAGTGTTTTGTTCAGAGACCCCCCCTCCAGGTCATGTGACGTCACTGTGTCACTTAGAAGCTGTTCAGAGTTCTGTCAGTGTTTTCAATGAGAAAAATGGTGTCTTTGTTTACAAATTATGTCTCCATGGTAACTGGAAACACCTGTAAAAGTAACAGCACACGTCACGGTGCTGAGCCGGTCGTCTTGATACGACATATGTGGGGGGACATGTTGAGGTTCAGGCTGCATTAAAGTTGATAGAAGAGCAGGACCTTTCAGGTGGATAATAAGAGGAGGTGCTGCCTTCAGGCAATCCTCAGTAAAGTTAAGAAACCTTTTGTCAGGTGGATAATAACAGGTGCTGCCTTCAGACAGTCCTCAGTAAAGTTAAGAAACCTTTTGTCAGGTGGATAAGAGGAGGAGGTGCTTTCTTCAGACAGTCCTCAGTAAAGTTAAGAAATCTTTTATCAGGTGGATAATAAGAGGAGGTGCTGCCTTCAGACAGTCCTCAGTAAAGTTAAGAAACCTTTTGTCAGGTGGATAAGAGGAGGAGGTGCTGCCTTCAGACAGTCCTCAGTAAAGTTAAGAAACCTTTTGT